AATGCCCATCTCAGAAACATCACCCGTCCATCCAGTGGATGCGTGTCGTGTCCCTCTCCTCATTTCCACTGCCTTCCTCCTTCCCTGTCCCATAGATTCCAAAAATTTTCACAACTTTCCCCACTCTCCTTATTGCTATGATTCTCCTACATTCTCTTTCCCTGCAACCCTTACTTCTCTAGGGGTGGAACAAATGTTTGGTGAACCCAGCCCCACTCCTCCAGGAACACATACATGTTGCCTTGGACTTAATTTCTTGAGCTGGGGTGGAGGCCAGTTTCGTGGTCTCCACAGGCCTTCCCAATCAGGATAGCATTGACTGTACAGACCCTTGACCCAAGGTGGAACTTTTGATTCAGATTGTCAAGTGTTATCACTCACAAACATCCACTTGAGGACAGGAGAAAGGACCAGGTTTGATCCAGGCACCCAGTCACCTAACTGTGATCCTGACCACGTTCCCAGGGCCTTCATCTCAGATTCTCTTTCCGCCATCCTTAAAAACTCTGGCTGTCTCTTCTGCCTGGGATACCATCACCTGTGTAAATAGCAGTCGGTGTCTTTAGGGCAGGACTGAGGCACGGGAACAGGGTACCCTTACCACCTCATGTCTGGGGTCCTTCCTCATTCAGGGTCATCCACTTCTTGGATCCGTGGGGCTGAGCTGAGAGCCTCCCGCACCCTCTCATGCCAGGACCCATCATTGCACGGGAGGAGGTAATGAACCTAGGCCTGGGGAAACTGTCCTTTCCCCATTCCAGGGGGCATGCAGAGGAGAGCAACCACTAGACCTGCCGCCCCTCTAACCAACATGCTCCCAGTGGTCTTGGTGAATGGTGTGTGCTCTGGGCCCTACTGTGGAACAGAACCCACTGGTCAGCTGAGGGGCTTCACACCTTCTGATTCCTGCAACATGGGTACATCACTCAGCATTTTACTCCCTCCTCTGCCAAGGCAAGCACTTCCCTTTTGCTGCCTGTGTGACACCACTTTCTTGAAGCTTCTCGGGGTCATCCTGGCAGTGAACCTCCTCTCATCTCCTGGAGTCCCTGCTAAAGTCTTTAATCCCATGATGTGAGGATGTGCCCGCAATGGGAAGAATTGTTTGTCCATTGTTTATTTCGGCTCCCTTTTTCCAGCACAGTGAAAATCCAACCCCAGGGCTATTCCTTGTCTCCAGCTGTTTCAGCCTCAGTCTGCATGCAACCTTCTTGGTGTAAAGCACTTCTGTTACTCATCAGCCTGTGCAGTAGAAGGGAGCACTAGTAATTGACAAGGGAGCAGCTCCTGAGGTAGTTGCCTGTGTTTTGTGGGGAAAGCATGTGGCCATCTACCAGCACAGGGCTGGTGCTAGCTCTTGCCAGACAAGGAAGGTTCAGCCTGCAAGTACTGAGGCTTCTGGAGGTGCAGGTTCTGCATCTCTTGCTGAGAAATCATCGTGGACAGGGGCTCCTCAGTTGTGTCCACTCATCTTCTGTCGGATTGAAGCGCCTCCTTGTGAGCCACGCATGGAATGTCCCTTTATTCCTCATCATGTCTCCACAGGGCTAAAAGACAATGCTGGCACTGCTATCACTGAGGAGTCTGTCCCTCCATACCGTGGACTCCTTCATCACCTCGCCCACGAGGGTGACAGTCTCCCCTGGGATGCTCGCCAGGTAACCAAGTGTTAGAAACATGGAGCAATCAGAGGGGGGCCTCATCCTAGAGATTATGCATGGCCCAAGTAGCCCCGAGGATGGCCTGCCCTTTGTCATTCCTGAGGTGAGAGAGGCCATCCACACACCTGAGATTATTGTCTTTCCTTGGACCTCTCCTGGGAGCCCTTGTTTTGAGTTCAATTGTTCCAGATTTACAGAGGTCAGTGCGTGACTGGGAGGCAGTGAGAATCTGCAGGGCTGCATGCAGGGCCTGGTGCTAGTAAGAGACAAGGAGGGAGAAAGCAGGGTGGGATAGGAATCTCAGGTGCACTTTAATCCCAACAGAGAATCAGTCAGGCTGCTGTGAAGCCCCAGCCTGGAGCTGTCAGGCTTTGCCCTTCAGCAATGGACCCCAGCCATGCTCTGTCACTGGCTGGGAGCTGGTTGAAGAAGTCTCATCTTGGTGTAAAAGGACTGAGAAAAAGACACTTGCTTATACCTTAGGAAGGAAGAGCTCCCCATCTTGACCCCAACAGGGAACACATTTAGCCTTTGGCCTTTGGATGACTCTGATTTTTCCCATTTTCCTAATGCCTGTTAATCACTCTGAAGTACCTTCTGTATTGATGCTGGCTTACAAATAAAGCTTAGGAAACAGTTTAATTAGCAACCTGGATGGCAAAGTTGCATATAATGGGGACTGACAGTGTCTCCATCAGTACATCCATTTTGGGTCTTTCCCAGTTCAGGGGCTGTTACTCAGTGCTGCTACCAACATTCTGTGCCACGTTTTCTGGTACACATTTGCAACCTCTCTCTGTGGCACAGCGTTCCACTTTTGAGACCCTTAGCCCCAGAAGCAGCCATGCAGGATGCCCTGGATTTGTTGGATCTGGCCCTGCGCAGCCTTGCTGTTTTACTCCTGTGAGCCCTACGGGCCTGGTTCACTGTGTGTGCCACTTTATAAAATGGCTGGGAAGGTGTGTCCACACCTGGGTGTGGAATCATTGACTTACAGGTGAGGCCCAGCTCCAGCGTTATCCGCTCACGCTGGCTCTATTTCCAAGTGGTTGTCCTAATTCACCCCCCTAACAGGGTGTTTCACTGTTACACTTCATCTGTATCCTCATTAATATTTGTTAATATCAAGCTACAAACTTTTGCCCATCTGGTGCAATGAAACATACCATGTTGCTTTCAATGTGTAATCCCTTGATTATTAAGGAGCCTGAGCCTCTTGCACACGCACTGGCCTTTGGAGTTTTCTCTCCTGTGAGGTACCTCCTCCAAAGTCTTTTCCCCACTTCCTCCTTGGGTTGCTTGCCTGTTTAACTGTGGGAATTCTCTATGCATTTTCTGTCCAAATTCTTTGATGACTTCATGTGATGCAAATATCTCTTTGCCTGCCCTGTTTCTCTATTATGATGTTTTCCAGTAAACAGAAACACTTCTTTTATTTTCACCATGTTTTGTTGTGAGAAATCGAATAGAGGAAGATATTTGAGGACATCGTGGCACTTCCTCATGAAGGAACACTTTCCCTCTCATCTGATGGCCTTGTTTTCCATTGCCCTGACAACCTTCAGGCAATCACAAGATGACTCCTACGCCTCGTTTTAAATGATTTTTCTTGGTGTACAGTTCTCTTCCAACCATGGAAGCATGATATCACTTGTGTCATTTTGAATACACTCCTTTTGATCTCACCTTCCCTTCAAAGTACCCCATTTTTTTCTCTACTCTCCTTTACCAAATAGAAACCTCCTTAGCTGGGTCCTGCACACTCTGTGTCTCTAACTGCTGTCTCCCACTGTAGTGGCACCCCTTCCTCCACAGAAAATCCTAAGGAAGCGTCTCCAGAAATCTTCACCATAATTGATTTTAGGACCATCAGCAAAAGAGTCTCTACAAAAGAGTTCAATGTAGGTAAACTTCCAAATTTCCTGTTACTTTATTTTACTTGGCCACTGGGCTTGAAGAAATCAGTTTTTCACAAACATTTATCCAGTATAGTAGTTTTTAGAAGTGTGTTTGCAAATGCAGAATGCTATTTAAAAAAAAAAAAGGCAAATCCTCAACAAGGCCTCTGGCCTTGAGCT